CGTAGAGACACTATGCAATATTTACACAATATTAACCAACAATTAGCATAAAGGGCCCTATTAAACTGGCCAATATCGCCTCTTCCACCCGAGAGCTGGTGGCTAAATGTATCAATCTAAGTTTGTTTAATGAGGTCAGGTTCTCCCACACCCAGCCTTCACGTCGATACATGCCACACAAACTAACTCTCTTTGAAATGCATCTAAAGACATAAAAAGTGCTTATGGAATGGAGTCATGCTCCACTAACCGAGCAGTTTTACTCCACCAGATTAACTAAAGCTCCTGGTTTGCCCCCGCCCGGCGCATGAACCACATCCAGAACTTGCAATTTCTTCGCGCACCAGAAAATGACCGTGTTTGCTCCCTCTGTGGTCCTTTCAGGATTGAGCAGCGCTTTGTCCAGGTCAGGGTGAGATTAAAATGCGTTCAGTCTGTGAATTTTAGAGGCTACGCCAACAAAAAACAACAAAGAAATACCATGACAAGGAACAAATCAGTAGTTCATGTCTTCGTTCTCTCATCCTCTCTCTCCTTTCATTATCTCTCGGCTGTCCAGTTAATCTGTCGTACATTACATCTCAAGTACAGTAAGAATGTTACAGTTACAGTTAACCCACATCACAACACACACACACACACACACACACACACAACACACACACCACACACACACACACAACACACACACACACACACACACACACACACAACACACACACACACACACACACACAAACATTGCCAACTAGTAATTGGTTTTATTTAACAAAGTCTGTTTTTAGAAAGGATCTTCTTCTTCTGCTAAAACATCAACAAGACTTTTATATAGCTCCTATTTGATGGCAGGACCACGGGTTGGTTGTATCTTAAACTATGAATTGTGGCACCACGGGAATTTGTTCAATGGGATTTCTGTCACAATCATATGGCTATGTTTATCATACTTGTGTGACGGCGTTGGCAACAACGGGAAAGAAGCCAAATGCGAGTCAGCAGACGCAAGCAGGTGATAAGTAGGTTGTCAAATGGAAACAGGCACTGTACTAGTAAAGGTAGCTTGACACTTACGACAAAGACGCCACAAGGCATCGACTGAACTATGTGACTAGTCGCTCCTGACTGATGAGAGGAATGGTGGTGAGCCAGGGTCGGCTTATTAAGGGGCAGACAAATGCTACTTGGCCTGGTGGTGAGCTGTTATGTTAGCGAAGTGTCGCATTCATCCTCACTGTGTCAATTCTGAAGCCAACAAGGGCAAGATTTTCAGATGTTGGAAAAAGGCCCTACTTTCAAATGAGGAAAGGAAGCAAGATATAAGGCAATGGATGCACCGCGGGTAGAAATTGAATTTTAAAGCATATGAAAGATTGATTCTGAGTGTTAAAGCTGCTCGTGGAATGTGATTAATGCTAGTTTTAATGTGGAAAACGCCCGCAGGCCGCACCGGTTATGAGTGAAGGACTCAAAACAGAAAGAGGATCCTGTCTGCACATGCTTTACGAGGAACACCCATTGCATCACGGTGGCAGCAGTAGCAGGCCAACACTAGGGAGCGAAATTCGGGGCTGGCGTAGAGCTCACTTGGTAGAACTGGCGGCCCATGCATTGGGGTTCACTTCCTGTGTGCGAGGACCCAGATTTAAATCCAGGCCTGGAACCATTTACGCGTGTCATCCCCTCTCTCTCCCCCTTTCAATACTGGTCCACTTCTCCAATAAAAAAAGAGAATTCGTGTCCAGTTGGGCTAACATTGAAAATACAATAAAGGCTCAGTTTGTGCACCACCACACACACACACACACACACACACACACACACACCACACACACACACACACACACACACACACACACACACACACACACACACACACACACACACACACACACACACACACACACACACGTTATGTCCAACATTTGGACTTTTTTTACATTTCAATTTTATTCATGACATTCTATGTTGGCCGACAAGTGTCAACGTGCTTGTTGCTGACCTGCTGACAGTCTGTTTATAAAACATCCTAAGACGACAGTTAAGCTAATGCTTAGGTTACAATCATTATTCCAAATCTAAAGCAGAGAAGTCCATAGAACTTGCAGGGACAAGACACAAAATGAGTAGATATGTGCAACAATGTAAACAAAACTTCTGTTTGTCCTCTGACAGTTATGAAGCAGAAGCTTATCTGCCCCTAACATGCAGCCACGTGTCTGACTGATTCTTCAGCAAACACTTTACTGCAGTAATTACATTTGAAAGCTGTTTAAAACTGACCTGTTGTATGTACTAAACACACAGAGAGATTGGTGCTTTTCTGACTATGTACATTCATATACAGTATTCCGATATTAACATTATTCCTGATTAGGACTGTCACCGGCATCAAAATCACAATTCTGTGAATGAATAAACTGTTATGAACTCAGACACTCAGGATTTAGGACCCAATTGCACGACCCTGGAGACAGAGGTAAAGTATTGGTAAGATACTTTATTTTTCCAAAAAAGCAAGATGAACAAAAAATGGTCACTATCGAATCTCAGGTTGAGAGGACAAAAAATGAGAACAAAATGAAATCGCTCACGTAGTGAGGAACAAAACTTTTCAAGAGCACAAAGAGAGCATAGACCTGACTATGGCAAGAGACAAGACGAACTGACCCTGAACACTGGGAGACAGGGGAATTTAAACACAGGATAACAAGACACAGGTGGGGACAATCAGGCTGGAACTGATGATCACAGGAGACACACAAGGGAAACAGGTGAACACAATCAGACAATTAGACACACCAGGGAAACTAACGACAGGGAGGAAAACACAGGGAGAATGACCAGACAATATACAAGGAGGAAAACATGACAGGGAGAACAGAACAGCAAAAACCCATTACCAGACTAAACTAAAAACCGTGACATGACATAAGAATCGTGACATAAACTTTATTTTTCTATCGTGATTTAAATTACTATCACACAGAATCATATTTTTCACATTTCAACGACATCATTTAGAATATGAAGCAAAGAAAAACGTAAAAGATACACCTATAAATAAATAATTATTACATTTTTCAAACATGCTTCCTGGTTTAATTCGGCCCTTTCACCCTTACCATACTTTTTGCATAAGCAAATGTTTTCGTTTTTGAATATTTTTTTATATATTCTTTTAATTAGTGGTTTAGATTTTGTATGTGATTGTGAAAATCTGTTGCTGCTAAACATATTATATGATGATAATCCCCATCAATAGGAAAAGGGACCATATTGTAAAAAATCAATATGTTCCTTTAATCTGCAGTTTCCTGTTTTCTTGTTTGGTCGCTTCAAGACTTCAGATAGGAAACTTAAAATAGAAGAGATAGAACCTAAACTTGAGACAGTTAAGAAAAACGTTCATGTTAGGGATTAGCAGTTGAAAGTGTGTGTATTGAGATGAATATATGGGTGGAGGGCTGTAAGTCATTTCTGTAGTACAGTTTTCTCATGGTTGTAGTATGCATGTAAATCACAACCACAAATGCTGAGCAGTTTGAGGTTTTCTACAGAATCTCCGCCCCTGAAGCTCCAGTTACACCCCGCTGCTCCGCCAAAACACGCCGAGGAAAACCATGATGTCTCCGTCTGACAGGCAAACATGAATTCACATCCTGCAGCGTCAGGTCCTGTGTGTGTGTAAGCTCATTCTACCCATTAGACATCAAATCTAAAGTTAAAACCAAGACACACCTATCTGAGTTCAATTCCACTTTTCAGCATGTTTTACATTGCTAATAACAACAGCAGACATTTTTAAGACAAAATAAATACAATCCGTCAAAATATTGGAGACTGTATTAGTTAATGGGGAACTCAATTTCTCAATAATTTTTCATGCCATACAGGAAAATGAGAAGAACTGAGAATTATAAAGAAACAACCAGAAGTTTGTGATTAAAGTGAAGGAAAATATACGGTGGCCGACAGGTGCAAACGCGTACAATGGCGCAAAACATTTATATTAGAAGACACGTGCTGCAATATCAAGAACAATGCAAATATTAAAGAAACACAAATGTGCCAGAACTAGGGCTGTCAAGTTAACGCATTAACGCAAAAAAAAATTAACGCCACTAATTATTTTAACGCGATTAACGCATATTTTTTTTCCTCAGCCGCCACGTAGTTTCAGAGCGCATCGAGTTTAAAATACCATCTACAAGCTGATGATGACAGCCCCGCTCCTGCCGTCCGCTTGCGGCAGACCACACTTCCACGCTCACCGGCAGGCACCGATTGGCCATCGGGAGGACCGGGAGGGTGTGTGTATGTGTGGCGCGAGAGAGAGACCTTACGTGTATTGTTGTTGTTGTTAGCATCTGGTGCTAGCTAGTTGTGCTAACGGATATAAGGAGCTGTTTAAATGAAAACAGAGGATCGACATTTCGCCACAACTGTGCCGAGCACTTGACTTTATGCAGGTAGCCAGAAAGTGGGACATTGTACGAAAAGTCAGCAAACTCAGCACGGATAGTCCGCGCAACATGATTGCAGCGTCCAGGCAGCTCCCGTTCCAGCATATGCCTTGAGTTGCACATAGCTCCAACGATCCATCACACACACACACACACACACACACACACACACTTTGTATTGTATTATTGTATTGTATGAGAGAGGTTCCAGGTTGAATTGAGGCGAATATTTGTAATGTTCAGAGGTTGTTATGTTTAATATTCATGAGAATATTTGTCATTGTTCAAATGATAATAAACTAACATTTGCATGAAGCATATTTGTCCACTCATATGTTGATAAGAGTATTAAAAACTTGAAAAATATCCCTCTAAGGTATTTAGAAAAGAGAAAAAATGTGCGATTAGTCGCGATTAAATATTTTAATCGACTGACAGCCCCAGAAGAAACATTAACACAGTCAAAGAATATCACACACTGAAAAGACTGAAACGTTGAACTGAACCTAATGTATACATTTTCATAAAGTCAAAGTTTCAGTTTTTTCAGTGCATAGCCTATGCACATCGCCCTGTATTGATAATAAGCTGTTAAACCAACACCACAGTATTATATGTATTTGCACGACTATACTGTTCTAACCTGTCCATAACCAGTCCTTATAACATATAAANCCCCCATTATTCCGGGGGACGATCCCCCGGACCGCACTAGTATGGTTTTGTCACCATTTCCATAGCCCCAAGGATAATGAAGGTAGAATCCATAAAAGGGGGTCAAATCTCACTTAGCTGTAATGAAATGGAAGGAGGCTCCAATAAGTGCTTTAGCACATGGGAAATAGAATCAAAAATATTTCGTGCTAATTTAGATTTTCTCTATTCATGCATCACATTGAATTGGTTAGCATTAGCGCATATCTTTATAACAAGTGGCGAAACAGAAATGTTCCATTTGATAACTATCATTGGCTTTCCATTTGCTTGTTACTATTTCTCTATTTAGGAAGCACACAGGAAATTGAAAGCAGAAACTGTAGCAACATAAATTATTTCACCATGGTTTAACACAATTTAGGAAGGGATTAATAAGTTTGCAACAAAAGGTGCCAATGAGTGTTTGAGTGTTTTTGCATTGTTTTGAGTTCAATATCATGCCTAGGAAATTAACTATTTTTCTGAAAAATAAAAACGTTTGAATAATATTTGCTGGTGCAGAAGGTAGCAAATATTTTTGGTGTTATTATATCTTCCCTCTGTATTTCAACTCATCTTTATTAAGGCTGACAGTAATTCTTGGAAAGGTAGGAGTGAAGGTGTAGGTGTTTGCTTGGGCTGGTGGTAATGTGCATCTGCAGGGCTGCATGAATCACTTCAGCTGCAGACGTGTGTGTGTGTGTGTGTGTGTGTGTGTGTGTGTGTGTGTGTGTGTGTGTGTGTGTGTGTGTGTGTGTGTGTGTGTGTGTGTGTGTGTGTGTGTGTGTGTGTGTGTGTGTGTGTGTGTGTGTGTGTGTGTGTGGCCATGACAGAAAAAAACCTACAATATAAGCTGCAACCCCTGACATAGGAGTCCTGTAGGAATTGTGTAAATCCAATTGTAAATTTGCCTTCTCCATGAAGATAATTGGCTTATTCCTGTGTTAAATAGCCGGTCCTACAGGACACTGACTGGGCTAAGCATGCTCCATGTAGACAGTGTGTCTGCTCCTCAGCTTCTTAGGGACTTAGAGGCACATTACATACTGAATTACTGTATGACAATGATGAAATGATAGCTGTAGTGCGTAACCCGAAGCTTCTGTACGGGGACTGGCATGCACAAGAGTCTGCAAGGGCATGAGTTCGATTCCCAGAGGGATTCCTCTCTAATAGTGCAGGGTTCCTACTGTTTGATGTATGTAAAGCAGTTACACAGACAGGAACAATCTGTGCATCCAAGACTTCAGATCTGCATTTCCCCGTTCCTGGTAAATCTCTCAATTTCTGGTTTTCAGGCAGAAGTCTTCACAACAGTTTCAGGCTTCTATTGAGCTCGGAAATGAAGAAAGTGTTGCTTTGCCTCACCTAAATCATTATCCACACATCAAACGCCATCTGGGTTTCACTCCGTTACTTTGAAGATTCCTTCCTAATCAGTCCTGCGCCT